GAGCAGGTAATTTATGAGAAGTCTCTGTAAAAACATGACAGCAAACCAGAGGTAGTATAAAGAATAGCTCAGATAAATAATAGGCATCTTGTGGGCCATTATCTGAACATGACTAGCCACATACAGTTTTTTTTTAAACTTGCTGTTCAAACAGCAGTGTTCATAAAGCAGAATGTCAATTCTTTGGCAGAGGAGCCTATTGGCACTAAACAAATAGATAGTCACCTTTCCTTCTGCTATAAACAGGCTGACGAAAGCAGGATGTTCAGTATTCTCTTTTCAAGTAATGAAGATGCCATGTCTTGGAGTCTTTTTAATGTGCATTGGAGTGGAACTTAGAATCTTGTCTAGTTTTATAAAATTATGCAAACCCACATTATTACAAATGAAGATCCTTATCCTGAAACTACCAACTGAAATAATGATTACTCCATGTATAGTCATTGCAGTAATAGGCCATACTATGCAGTGAATACAATCAAGTCTACAAATAGCCTAATAACTTGAGTATTCTCTGATGCCTGCCTATGGTGTGGTTGGGACCGTTAGGTTTGAATATATTGGATGATCTAATGCCTTCTCTGCATAAAAACTTTTATTTCTAAGAGGAAAAAACAGAAATATATATGCTGCTGTCCAAACTTCACTGTACAGTAACAGCTTTTGTTTTAAAAAGGCAACTATAAAATACAGGTAGAATTGTACATGCTTTTAAACCTCTGTACAATAAATGTCTAGACACAATAAATCCATAAAATTAATCTTCAGCAGTCATTAGAGGAACTAGTGAAAGGCAGTGCCGAGAAAATCCAAACCAAAAAGCAACAACAAAATTGCATTTAAGCCCCTTAGAAGATACTGTAACCAAAGTGATGCTCTATATATGGCTCTATATGTGGTTCATAACCCTTGTGCAGCAGGCAAAGGCCGGGGCTGCCAAACTGCCCGAGAGTGACATCCAGTGGGGAAATCTGGGGCGGCGGCAGCAGCTCCTGGGCGGGCACTGCGCTCCTGAAAGGGCCGGATCTCAAGCCTACAGGCCAAGCTGTCTGTCTGGATTCGACGTAATTATTTTTCATTGGCAAACATTCAGTAGCTGAATCTATTAATATAAATTGTCCTTACAGGAACTAAACTGTCGATGAAGAATCTTGTGCTGGCACAAAAGATTTCCCTCTAGCCCTTGTAATGGGTCTGTTGCTTATCTCGGTGTTGATAAAAACCACACTGCCCTGGTCTTCACCCAATTAAGGTAAACCTCTCATCCTTCTCATTCAGAACTAGACCTGACTGTGTAGGTCACAGGTATTTCTGCAGACTCCATGTGGTCCATGGATGCCTTTTTATAGTTGCCTGTTTGATTTGGGTTTATCCTAGGTGATTCCTTTTTTTTTTTTTTTTGAGGGGGGTGGTGGTGTTGGGTTTTTTTTCTTCTGTTCTTAATAATCCCTTCCATCTTTCCTTCCCTTTACATAGTTTACAGAACAAGCCACCCTTCTCCAACCTTACAAATCCACATCTATCTCTTTTCAGTTTCTCTGAAACTCAAGAAACTCCCTTCTCTGGCTTTTCTGGGGGTGTTGTGAAGAGCAATCCAATTGCTTCTCTGTTCTCTGTATTGATGCACTCAGATGCACTGGCATGTCTGCTTTTTGGACTGGAGAGAGACAGTAGTGGTCCTGAACCACAGAAGTAGTTCCAGTTCAAGCTCGTGCATCTTATGGTACCCATGCCATTTACAAGTCAGAACACTGAGTAAGTGCACCGTAATTCTGACATTCCCTATATTCTGACATCAACTATCCCCATCTCTAGTTCTGTTTCTTGTCTGGGTTGATATATGAAGTCCCATGTAATATTGAAACACTCCTCCTCTTGCCCTGTTCTAAAACCTTGAAATGAGTCAGCTCTAAAGTTTATTATCAGATTCAACTCAGCAAACACACTCAAAACACTTTCCTAGGGTCAGACTGTACTCTAGCCTGCTTATTGGCTGGAATGAAAGGGCTCTTTGTGCAGATCTCTGTTTGCTTGTGTGGAAAGTGGAACAAATTAACTTTGTGGCATTATATTCCTGCCTTGAATGTTTCATAGGGTTGGTAACTCACAGGAGGAGTGGTCATTAGTAGTAAGTAGTAAGCTAAAGCTATATAGCTGGGCTATAACATGTGTACACTCTATTCTTCGAGATCCCTGGATAATCTACTCAATAATCAACATTCTGAAATAAAAATAGAGCTCCTCAATGCATTGGAGATACCCAGATGAAGGTGGAATTTATGTTCGTTGGAAGCTGAAAATAAGTGTCTTATTAATTGGTTTTCAACTTGTTAAATTCAAGTGTTTTTTAAGGCTGAGAAGTGGAGCATCTCAAAAATAATCAAATTACCAGAAAAAAATATTGTTTATTTTATCTTTTGTGCATTTTCATGATTATACAGATAACAGAGTAGTTAACTTTCCAGCTGTAAACATACTATCGGGTGGGATTTTCTAGATAAGCAAACAGAAAAGCTAACATAGAGCATTATAAGGACACTAACTCATCAAAAGGATTGGATTCTTTAGATACATAGGACAGACCTCTGCCAGCTGATCCAGTGGAGTAATTGACAGTACTAGGAGATTCATCAGAAACCTGGTAGGGTGATTTGAGTCATTAGTCAGGGCACTTTCAATTCATCATTGTGGATGTTTGCTGACAGCAGAGGAAAGGCAATACGCTGACTGCGAAAGGGAGTGGTAGCAGACCTAGATTCCTTTTTTCATTCTCCACTGTCTTAATCTTTCATGTACCTTCAGGACTTGTGCTATAGCTTATTTAATCCCCACATAACTTTCATGCTTCTCTGATCTACCCTCTTCTTCCCTGGCCAGTTGTATACCTCCATATACCAATCCTAACCTCCCTTCACTCTCAGGTTCCTTATTTGTTCAGTCTTCACCTCCCTTTTCCAGCCATGTTCTTCTGGCTCTCGGCCTCATTCACATCAGTGCTACCCTTCCCTCCAGTCCTGCATGCTGTCCCTCACCAGCCAGCCCTCTGTCCACCTCCTCTGTCTTCCACTCCTCTACTGTCATAGTCTTCCATTTTCCTTTAAGACTTCTGTTTCTAGAGTCTTTGCTGAGCCAGTCCTGGCTTTCAGTCAGTCACAATTATTGTGGCTCAACAGAGGCATAATGGCCCACTGTATAGAGCATTAATTTAAATGCTTTAATGATCCTTCCTGACACTGATTTTTATGAATCCCCTACTCCTTCTTCTCCTAGCCTTGCCTTCATTAGTAAGGTGTTCCTTAACAGTTCCAAGAAGATGTTTAACAGCAATAGTAATTTCTCCTTTTGTTTTTCTTTATATTCATCTCAGGATCCTTCTTTGTCCGTTGTGCCTGGCCACCGTCGGGACAATCACTGAGGCACAGGCAAAACAGTGAAATTATGTGGCAGGTCAGAAGCACATTTCAGGGTAGTCCAAACTGTCTTGGGCAGACTCAGTAGTATGCCATGCAGACGGAGCCTTCAGATTCCTTAGCTATGAAGCTCAGCAAGTTGACTGAGCATACACTGTGATTTATCATCAAAGTGTTTGGGACAAATGTGGATGAAGTTTCTCAGATAGGAGAAAAGCAGAAAGCACTTCCTTCTCCTTGTCTATTAAAAATCTCTGATCTAAACAATGTGTAAGGATTTCTTTACTACTACCCCAAAAGGGGATACTATGTCTGCTTCTCAAATTTCAGTCTTAGAAATGACTGAATAATTTGTGCTGAAGTTTTCCAAAAATCTTCAGCACCTGCCATGAGAAATTTCAGACTGAATGGTTCAAATCAGGCAATGTCATAAACATCAGATCTTAGAGTAGAAATTGTCAGAAAACCTGACTAGGAGCTTGAACATAATAGGGGGCATTATGTTCAGTCTCTGGGTGTTTCAATTCAGAATATTCCAAATAACATAGATACATATGGAGAATAGTTCATACTTGCTAAGCTACTGTACATAATAAGCAAGATCATTTGAGAGTAATGGAAATTTTGCTCAGCTGCGCCTTCTCTAATTAGGCAGAAAATGTTTGTTTTAGGTTGACTTTCTCAGTTGCTGTGTCCTGCTATTAAAGTAATTTGGTCTCTGTTCCTCATCTGACCCAGAAGGGGATACAGATAGGAATAGCCATCTCACTTAACCAGTTTAGCAAGGAGCTGTCATGCTTTCATTTAAGACCTTCCTCTCCCAACCCACATTCCCATCCCAGTTTTAACCAGGTAAGTTTCCTGGTAAGAAGGTCGAGCCTTAAGTGCAGGCAGCACCAGGATTCACTGTCCATGAATAAACAACACACTCATAAGAAATAATAAGAGCCTTGTGATTAAATCAGAGTCTTGGAGTCAGGAAGTTTGAGTTTGTGGCTGGCTTTCTGCTGTATATTCTGGGTGACTTTGTGAAAAACAAAGAATTGAAACCAGAGAAAAATGCCCATGAGTTTTCATTGCTGCAGTATTTCTGTTGTTGCTAAACATGCCTGAAGATGGGTAACATGTAAGAAAAACTCTTAAAACCTTTAAGTATTCTTGAAAATGTAAATGTTAATCTCCCTTCCCATGGTTGCCCCCACCACAACACACCAGGCAGGCTGTATTATTACTGTCTTAATTCACAACTAAATCACGGCGAGTTCCTGGGTACTCCAGGATTTTAATTTTTTTTTTTTTTGCCTTTACAAGAAACATTACAGAGCAGTGAAGACTCAGAAGTGAATGTGGACCCTCATCATACTAATCTCCCATGAAAGTGGCTGTAGTTGGATACAAGACTAAGATGAAGCATATTATAAAGTCAGCATCTTGTGTATGTTGACCAGGGGATTGAGACCAAAGGCTCCAACTTGGGTTTCTCCCCAGAAAGAGAGCACAAACCAGTGCACGCCTCTCTGGCCAAGTCATTAGTTCTGTAATCCAAGACTCTTTTTCCAGACTCTATTTTATCTCATTTCTGTTTCGGGTTAAACTAGATCAACCCTACAAAATGTCAATTCTAACATTCCCTACTCCCCACTGAGTGCTTGAACTACTCAGCTGCAGAACCAGGCTCCTTCCTGTGAAAGTGGTAAACCAGAAAGTTTAAAATTGATCTTGGAAATTTAGGCACTTGCAGGATTGGACAAATAGCAAGCAAGAGTTTTCAGTATTACACTGTGGATGTTTAAATCCTTGCTTCCTGGAATTCTTTTCAACTTCTAACATAAAAATCCTCATTTGCAAATAGTGGCTAACCATAGTGTAAGCCTCTGCCCACCAATCCGAAATACTGTGTTGTAACTCTAAACAAGGAGCAGAACACCACCTAGTGACACACAATAAAATTACTCATCTGTTACTAAATAAAATGTCTTATTTGATCGTTTGAAAGTAAAAAAACCCAACCCTACTACAATGAAAATATTTAATTTACAATTTTAAAAAAATCCTATTCTAATCCTGAGTTATTTGCTATAGAGTATAAGATAACTTTTCCTAGGCTAATTGAAGGAATACAAGAATTATCATTGCTATTTCTCAGTAAAGCAGGCCTTAGCACTGATTCTAGTTTTCTTCCATGAACTTCAGTTGCTTGGAATCTGGATTTTATTAAAAATATTTGTTCCACTTGCTGTTTTCCTTTATTCACAATAAGAATGTAACACAAAGCTTAAGGAGAATCATTCAAAAAGGGCCAGATCAACAATGAATGCTAGTATTAGCATGTGATGACAAGCCATCAAATTCTAGTATCAGCCTTCATCACTGGCATGGTTCTTTTGTGTCTAAGTTATTAATAATTTTGGTTATTTTTCTTGATATAATCAAAATACTGACATTCTCTTTGAAAAAAAAAAAAAGTTGTTTCACATGAATAAATTTTTCAAATAAATAAATTTTACATTCATATTTCAAGAGAAAATTACCCTTTTAACATATTTTTGAAGTGTAATAGTGCACAGTGAAGGAAAAGTTATTTTCTCTATTTAGGTTCTATAGACACAAAATTGCTTTTGCAATGTGTTAAATTTTAGAGTTTTATTACAATTTTTACACCAATTATGAAAACTCTACATTGATACTATGGACATCGGTGAGTGGTAACCATGGCCTGACGTAACATGTCAGTGTGATGTAACCGTGCAATCAAACGAGCCCAACAAGAGCTGGAAAGTCTCTATGACCGCGTACTGATAGTGCGGCCGGAACAGCCGAACGGGTGCCGCTATCAGTTGGCTCTACAGAAGGAAGCAGCCCACGTTTTGTGCCGGCAGTAGCAAAGCTGCAGTTATTCCCATAAATAAAGTAATTAACGGTAAAGCCTGAACCTCCCGCGCTGGGCGGGAGCCGCAGGCCGGCGCCGTCCCGCCGCCTGGCGC